CGTCTGCAGAAAGAAGTTTTTCAAAGCTAAAGTTGTTGAAATCCTACCTAAGGTCCACAATGTCACAAGAAAGACTTAATGGATTGGCGATAATAGCTATTGAGAACGTTATATTGGAGACTATTGATTATGAAGAGTTGGTGAACAATTTTGTTTCCAAGAATGCTAGGAGAGTCTCGCAATTCATGTAGTTGTCTACGATTATCTATTGTATGATCGTTCTTTTCTTTTGCTTCATATTATAACAATTATGAAATAATTAATGAATTTTTGATATAAGTAAAAAATAAATATATATTTAGGGGCCTATTTTTTAGTTTCGCACCGGGCCCCTAAAATCAACGGACCGGCCCTGGTAGTAGTGGGTGGGTAGGGGGTACAACATTACGGAGCACGTTGCCATGTTGGGGTTTTACAAACCAAGAGTCTTGACTAAAGTTTTTTTTTTCACACGACTTTTAACGTGAAGAGAAGGAAAATGTTGCACCTAAGAAACGGGAGGGGGGGGGGGGGGGGTCCAACATTACAGAGCACGTTGCTATGCTGGGGTTTTACAAACCAAGAGTCCAAACTCAAGTTTTTTTTTTTTTGCAATCTTCACACGACTCTAAACCCGGAGAAAAGACAAATGTTGTACCTTAAAAATGGGAGGCTTACAATATTTCACCTTGTCATTAAATATCAAACATCCCTTTAAGAACAGATGTTCATCCAACCTAAAGACAATAGAAATGTTGCACCTCGAAAACGATGGCATTACAAATGTGTTTGATATGTTTGTTTAGTAATGCCTTCAAGATCTAAATAAATATTTAACGGTGAGTATGTAGATGATTTGGTAGAAGTCTTTATTGATAAGTTGGAGAAACAGAAACAGAGTCAAAAGAAACCCAACTTATAACAAATGTAATTTTAATCCACAACGAATTTGAAGGTGTGTGGTACATAGACAGAAAGCTCTTGACAGGCATGCGTTCCTAACATGCGCTCCTAATAGGTTAACAAATGAGGTTTCCAAAGGTAACCTACCCTTAGGCTAATACCAAATTCCAACATTTAGTCTTGCAAATTCCATTTTTCCAAATTTTGGTCCATTTTCATAATGTGCTAGATTCTCATTTTCGGAATTTATCAAATTTTCATATGTAATTTCATGTATATAATGCTAATTTCAAAATTTCAAATTTGGTTGTACCTGCCAAATTTAGCCCAATTATATGCAAGATCATGTAAGCCTTTTATAAGCATCCTGAAATTCAATAAACAGTTCCCTTTGTATACTTTTATTATTATTATTTTCGTTACAACAATACATATACATGAAGATTAAGATATAAAACATATTAAGAACAAAATATGTAATGACCAACGACCTGATAACACAATAATATATATTTTCCATAAATCAATGAACGTACACGGATCATATTTTCCTCCAACCATCATATGACAATTTCATTAGTTTGTTTATTCAATTCACAAAATGCAGCTACTTTGTTTGATTCAAAAGGTTAATGGTCCCCAACAAGTCATATGTAGTTACGGTTGTGATATGCTAATTTAGCACGGAGTTTCAACATATATACAAAGTAGTAACTAATAATCAATTTTATTTCATCTGTTAAAGTAAATAGTTTAATTTTTCATTAATAACTTTTAGTATATAAACAAAAAAAAATTATTAATAATTTTGTGACAATTTTATACCACCTTCATTATAGTGAAACTTGGTTAAATTATGGCTTTATGCATATGTTTCTCGTTTAATTAAAAGTGTCACATGTATGATGGTAAAAGGTGTATTGTGGTTATTTGCAATATCATTGTGATTTCTAAAACTTTATATAGTACTATTGAATGTAAGATTAATACGCATCCTAATTAATTGGTAACTATCTTGTTCATCATACGTTATTGTGCATGCTCATAGAGATATGTGGTGTTAAAAAAACTCCATCAAATATTTTCATCATATAAAAGACAACACTAATTTTAATCATTTTTTTTTAATATTGTCAAGCTTCAAAATTGATTTTTTTCTCAGGTTCGATTCATGGTCTCATCTTATAATACCTAAGGAGCTAATGAAAGTCTTTTAGTCAAATTAAACTGTCTCAATTCCCCGGCAATCACACCAAAAAATCGACTTCCGCTGCCTGCTCTCTCCTTATTCGGCACTTCCTAATCCAAAACAGACATGATCTTCTCTTGATCCATCTGAATCACACCCTTGAATCACACCCTTGCTGATCCAATGGCCAAGGAATAGCACTTTAATCTGAGTACCCTTTCACGTACAACCTCTTTTCTTGCTACACCCGAAACACTGTACTCAGGGTTCCAAACCTCCAGTGAGTGACTATAAACGATTATGCCATCGAGGTTTTCCTGGTCATACATTTAACAAACTTTTTTTTGCATGGTGTTGCTCATGTCCCAACAAAAGGTTTCAACACACTTTTTTTTTTCTATTTCTCTCATACATTGCAATATTTTCTTGTATTTGTTTCACCTTATATTCAACATCTTTTTCAATTAAATGGAGAATATACGATATAATAGTTGTAGAGTTCAAATTTCTTTTAATATTGCCAATACAGGATTTGCAACATTTTGTATGCATCCACTCAATGTGTAATCTTTCACATGTAATGATTTTTTTCTTTGCATAAACATACCACGTACAATGTGGTGTATATTACATAATAGTAGAGCTTTTTCCTTTATCTCATATAGTTTTATACTTTTCTACCCATGAACTAATTTTACTTATGTAAACTTTAAACTTTATTTTGAATGATCGATCAAAGTGTTATTGCTTTTTGTATATGTGTCTCATTTACAAGTGACATTCCTAATCTTAAATCTTAATTTGTTTTATGATTAACTCCAAATATCTATATGATTATTGTTTTCCAAATTAACTATAATAAATTCTACTACTCGAGTTTCACTCGTATCATCATAATCAATGTATATATTAAACATCGACTTTTAATCAATATCTTCATAATATTATGAGTTGGCATTATTGAATACAAAATCATCATCCTCCTCAAATGTATTATTATAAGGCAAACAATGATACATTGGAGATGTAGCTATCAATATTGGAAAGAATATTTATAAAACTTAACATATATGCGGACAATCTTAAGATAAAAACAATATAAGTTGATAACACTAAAAATCAATTGGTTTAATTATTTTATATATTTTTCATGAATAATGGCAGCGGAGTTTTAGTTGTTTTTTGCTTCGCCAACACTTTTTTTCTTGAAAGTAATAGTTCATAATAATTGCACATATTTGTAAGTTAATATAATTTCGTAGAAAAAAATATAATCAATTTAAATATATTACTTAATAAATAATTTCGGAACATTATGGGGAGTGGTTGCCTTTATCAAGTAAGTCACCATATGGTTAAGACATCGGATATACTCATCACACCAAGGGTATGGTGGTGATATGACATGTAGTCGTGGTGATATGGTTGGAATGAACACCACCCCTAGGGGTGATATGACATGTAGTCGTGGTGATATGGTTGGAATGAACACCACCCCTAGGGGCGTGGTTGTGGTGTGGAGTAGCTTGAAGCATGTTGTTTACATATAGGAGAAATAAGCTTTTTCTCTTGCTATCTCTTCTCCTCCTCTAGCTTTTTCATAGATTTAATAAGTAAGTGGTGTGTATTTTCTCGATATATACTATAAAGGCGAAAATGATGATGGCATGATTTTTTTAAGTGTATGTCTTATAGGAATAGATGATGGATAAGGGTATCAATGTACTTATGTAAAACTAGAAAAAAAAAATCTTACACATATGGATTGTTTTTTTTCTTTATGTATTATCATCAGCTTAGTAAAAACCAATGAGGACAATTTTGTAATTAGTTTTGTACATATGGGTCAAACTTATCAAAATACAAAAATCCTATACTTATGGATTGTTTTTGGAAAAAAAAACTTTACAATGACCTTTCTATAAACTAAAAAATTATAGGGACTAAATCTATCCAAATATAAAACATTTGTTGCAAGACTAAATCTATCAAATTATATAACCTTTGTTGCAAGAATTAAATCTGATAAAATATAAAACCTTTGTTGTAGATACTAAATCTGTCAAAATATAAAATATTTGTTTGTAGGGACTAAATCTGTTAAAATAAAAAATATTAACAATGAAAACATCACTACCTATAAGCATAATGAAAATCATCACTAATAAATCCAAATCTTTTTGTACATGTTCTTTTCTCATTTATTTGGATACATAATATTTTCTAGAATTTTTGAATTTTCTATTTTCTATTTGTCATTTTATTGTATTTTTTATTTTATTTAATTAATATTTCACATTTAATATGTAACGTATTTATTAGAAAAAATTTATATATGTAATATATTTAATGTATTAAAGCCTCATTAATTATAATAATTCAATTTCTTTTATTTTTCTTATAAATTCAAACTTTTTAAATTTTTAAAATTTCATATTTAATTTTCTTTTAAATAAACTCATGTAATGCATGAATCTCACACCTAATTAACGGTATATATAATTAGAAACGTAATAGGTATACATCACATCCAAAAAGAACTCTATTTCTTATCAATATTTGTGAAACCACTATATTGTTATCAAGATTTGTGAAACATATATATTCACATTTTCCCGATCTATCCTATTACTACCATAAAAAGACTCGTGTATAGTAACCTAAAGGAAAAGAGAAGATATTGGATAAACTTTCTTATATATCTAAATTAAAGGAAAACACAAAAATAAATTAAGCGATATTCAAATATGTCGTTCTTCTTTTCTTAAATGAAGAGAAAGGATAAAATTATACTGACAAGTGATCAAGCCGAACTCTCCAACCGGACACGTATAATAAGCCCTCCCAAGGTCCAAGGAGCTTCAGCAATGCACAGGAAGTTATAATTATCCACTGCAAAACATTATCTCAGACGACGACAATCGCCGGAATGGCTGATCGGAAAACTGAAAATCCTCATGCAATATTCATACCATTTCCTCTCCAAGGCCACCTGATCCCTTCCGTTCATCTTGCCGTCAAGCTAGCATCAAAGGGATTCACCATCACCTTCGTCAACACTGAATCAATCCACCATAGCATCATTAAATCCTCGTCACAATCCGCCATCAACGGTACCCACCACCACCACGACGGTGATCTTTTTGCTGAGGCACGGAAATCCGGTCTGGATATAAGGTATGCCATCGTAAGCGACGGTCTTCCGCTTGGGTTTGATCGGTCCCTGAACCATGACCAATACATGGAGTGTCTTCTCCATGTATTTTCGGCTCATGTGGATGAGTTTGTAGGGAACTTAGTGAAAGGTGACATGTCGATCAACTGTTTGATCGCCGATAGCTTCCATGTGTGGCCATTGATGATCTCAAAGAAGTATAATTTGGTCAATATTTCATTCTGGACAGAACCTGCTTTGGTTTTGAATTTGTATTATCACATGGATTTGCTCAAGAAAAACGGACACTATGATCCACTTGGTATACATAGCTTCCTTCAATCTCTCTTCAACATATAGGTCATGTACTTTCTTATTTATCTCATGAATTTATTATAATACATCAACTTATTAGAACATAAAGTTCATTAATTAAATGATGCACATATAAGTACACATTATTTTATTTAATATATATATATATATATATATATATATATATATATATATATATATATATATATATATATATAGGGTTAGGTTTATTTGAGACCACCTATATTTTGTGAGACCGTGAGATGCATTTATTTATTTATTTATTTATTTTTTTTAGTTAGTTCATGTTCCGAAAATAATATTTAAAAAAAGAATTTTTTTGATTTTTCCATTTATTTTGCATTTTAAAATTATTTTTAGAATATGTACAGTGTAATATTCTATTTAGAATATTTCACGTATTTAAAAAAAAATAGAATTTTTTTTTATTTTTTTTAGTTAATTCAAGTTCCGAAAATAATATTTAAAAAAAGAATTTTTAGATTTTTTCATTTATTTTGCATTTTAAAATTATTTTTTAGAATATGTCAGTGTAATATTCTATTTAGAATATTTCACGTATTTTTCAAAAAAAAAAAAACGGAATTTTTATTATTTTTTTTTAATATTTTTTTATATTTTTTTTAGTTAATTCAAGTTCCGAAAATAATATTTAAAAAAAGAATTTTTGGATTTTTCCATTTATTTTGCATTTTAAAATTATTTTTAGATTTGGTCTCACGGTCTCACAAAATTAGAATGGTCTCAAATGAACCTGAACCTATATATATATATATATATATATATATATATATATATATATATATATATATACTCTTCACATAGAAACCAACTAGCTAGCATATCATAAAAAGTGGTTTTGTTTTTATTATTGTATGCATAATATATCTTGCTATATATTAATAATACAAAGTCAAGTTTCTAGTAACGATATACATGTCTTTATGATTCCAGATAAGCATGAAGATGTCATAGATTACATACCTGGGGTCGATTCAATCAAACCAAGAGACATGATGTCGTATCTCCAAGCAACTAATACAAACACTGTGTCACATCGCATCATACACAAGGCATTGTTTGAGGATGCAAGGAGCGCTGATTTCATGATATGTAACACAATACACGAGCTTGAATGTCACACAATTTCGACACTGAATCAAATGCAACCCTTTTATGCGATTGGTCCTATTTTCCCTAACAAGTTCACTCAAAAACTTGTGTCCACAAACTTATGGTATGAGTTAGATTGCACCCGTTGGCTTAATAATAGACCTCTTAGATCGGTGTTGTATGTCTCCTTTGGTAGCTATGCTCACATTAGCAAACATGATCTCGCGGAGATAGCACATGGGCTCTTACAAAGTGGGGTTAGTTTTGTTTGGGCACTTCGGCCTGATATTGTGAGTTCTAATGACACTAATGCTTTGCCTCTTGGATTTGAAGACAAAATTAAAGATCAAGGGTTGATTGTGCCTTGGTGTGATCAAAAAAGTGTTCTTTCACATCCATCGATAGGAGGGTTTGTGACATACTGTGGATGGAATTCGGTTTTGGAAAGTATATGGTGTGGGGTACCTTTGATTTGTTTTCCTCTTCTAACCGATCAGTTCACAAATAGAAAATTAGTAGTTGATGATTGGAAAATTGGGATTAATTTATGTGAAGGGAATTTGGTTGAAAAAGAGGATGTGACAAAGAAAGTCATAGGTTTGATGATTGGAGAGAAGTCAAGTGAACTGAGGAACCAGATCAAGAAGGTTAAAACAACACTCCAAGATGCTTTGGCATTAGGTGGATCGTCTCAAAGAAATTTCGATCAATTTATTAGTGAAGTTAGAATAAAAACTAATAATATGAAATGAAATTGCTATTTACTGAAATAGTCAAGTTTTTATAATTTTAATTTTATATAATAAAGAATAAATAAGAAAGGCATAATTGTTGAGGAAGATTGCACTTAATTAGATCAATTGATGCATGACCTATTTGTATTTATGAAATATCAAATTTGTTCGTCGGAGTAGCTTCGACATCTTATTCAGCAACCTCAGCAACCTCGGCAAACACTGGGCTGAGGCCGAGGCATGCCGAGCTCCGCTCGACAACTCAGTGATGTTTTATCGATGAAAAAGAAAGTGATTTTTCTTTCTTTTTTTTACCTATTAACTAAAATTCATTTTTTCAAAAAACCATCCGATTTCAAAAATATAACCGTTTTTTTTTTCAAATTTTAAACCTTCAATCTTCAATTATAAATATCATCATCATTATTCATTCTTCACCCCATTCAAATTTTCTTAATTAAATTCTCTCAACTTTCTTATTTTCATCTTATTCAAAACCCCATCGCTAATGGCTCGTGTGGTTCGTGTATCACGATCTGATACAATCGTTAATGGAACACCGTGAAGCCTTATAATTTCCTTCACGTAAGAATCCATAAGCTTTTCTATAGACCATTTCTCATTGGCTGCTATGAAATGCGCACTCTTAGTGAATCGATCAACGACCACCCAAATAATGTCGTGACCATTCTTTGTTCTGGGCAGTTTAGTGACAAAATCTATAGCAATGTCTTCCCATTTACCCATAGGTACAGAAAAAGGCTCTAAACTCCCATATGGTTTCTGATGTTGTGTCTTGACTCTAGCACAAGTCACACACTCAACCACATACTTTGCAACATCAAGCTTCATCGTCGGCCACCAGTAGTAGGGTTTCAGGTCCCTATACATTTTAGTGCTACCAGGATGAATCGAGTACATGGTCTTGTGAGATTCTTCCATCAGAAGATCTCTGACTCCTCCTGTCTTTGGTATTCAAATCCGATCTTGGAACACCTTCAGTCCATGACTGTTTATACTGAACACCAACGTTTTACCCAAACATTCCTCCTTCGGTCGTTCTTCTCAGAAGCCTCATCTTGAGCTTTCTTTATACTCTCCACAATTATCGAGACAACTTCTATTCTCAACGCTCTTTGTCTCTTCCTTTCAAGTTTGACTTTCTGACTGAGAGCATCAGCAACAACATTAGCTTTACCAGGGTGGTAAAGTATCTTATAGTCGTAGTCCTTAAGTAACTCTAGCCAACGTCGTTGCCTCATATTCAATTCTTTCTGACTAAAGAGATATTGGAGACTCTTATGATTAGTGAAAAGCTTGCACTTCGTGCCATAAAGGTAATGCCTCCATATTTTTAGAGCGAAAACTACCGCTGCCAACTCCAAATCATGAGTCGGGTAGTTCTTTTCATGCTCCTTCAACTGTCGAGACGCATATGCGATCACCTTATCTCTTTGGGTCAAAACACAACCCAATCCAACCCCTGACGCATCGCTATAGACAGCGAAGTTTTCAACTCCATCGGGCAGAGAAAGTCTCGGTGCCTCACATAGTTTCTTCTTTAGCTTCTCGAATGCTTCTTTATGCTTATCACTCCAAGCTGTTAATGGACTAGCGATCGAATAAAAGCCTTGGATAAACCTTCAGTAATATCCGACTATGTGACAACCCAATATTTCGACTCTATGTAATGACCTAAAAAGTCAAATATTATAACCACTTTTGAAATAATGAAATTAACTTCGAAAATAAAATGTACAAAAGTCTTTATTGGGTTACCTACTATGCTAGATATTGTGTCAAAGTTTACAGAAATACTAATAACACTAAAACCCGAGTTATAACGAAGAAGTTATAACCATTATAAGATTTCCGACAAAACCGGCAACACTGATTAAACGAAAAACGTGAAGTTTCAAATACAATAGTTTTTAGCCTTAAGTATATAAATGAAAGTTGTAGATATCATTAAACCGTGAGCGTACATAAAAAGAATGTCCAAATTTGACTTCGTATGAGGAAGTTATGATTTTTCCAAGATCCGGATATAACAGTAGACAACTAAAAACTCGAAATAGAGATCGAGAGACTTTTGGCTGAAACAACCTAAATGAGAATCGAAGGTCTCAACCAAATTAGCACAACGGTAAAAAGTATGGCAAAAACGGACGCCAGATGAAGAAGTTATGAATTTTTAACGGACTTTTTCAGTCTCGACCTGTTAAAAATAAATAATTAAAATAAAGTCAAAATTAGCCGACAAAGTCAAGTGCATATAAAGAACGTCGAAAACGGAGCTCGTACGCGAAAGTTACAGATTTTACAAGTTCGAGACCCGGAATCCGAGGCTGTCAGGTTAGCCGCGACGTGACACAGTTAATCGCGACCGGGTAAGTGACTGAGGGCGTCCAATCAATGGAAGAGGATAGGATTGCTCACCACGACGTGACACAGTTGGCCACGACGTGACACCCAAAATATGACCCTATAAATAGAACTCAAGGGTTCTGGGTTTCATTGCTCAGTTCTCTTCTTTCTCGCGTTGAAGCTCTGCGTTTTTCCACTCGAAGCCATCCCGACACTCCGGTTTTCACACTCAAGTCACGAAGGAAGTTCTACACTCCCAAGAGTCCAGAGAATCCCGATATTTTCCCGCATTTTCAGCTTTTCCTGTCGAAGTTCTGTTCGATTCTTCTCTCGACTACTTCAAAGCAACCACTTCAATCAAGTGAGTTCATACCGCCTTTATACACCTTCAAATACTTTATAATGTACTTTTAATACATTTCGGGGGAGAATACAAGTAAACACCCGGTTAATCCCGAGTGAAAACGTGAAAACTCTTGTTATATTTTGCATGCACTAGGTTTACACAAAATGCATAATAGGATTTATGCATTCAAAGAACTTAAGATTTATGCTATTATGGAGTAATTTTTTTTGACTTTCAAGGTTGTTCTTATTAGGGCATAGTACTTTGTAATAAGACAAAATGAAAGTGTGATTTTATATAAAAACATAACCATAACCCATATCAAATTCACCATAAAAAAACAATAGCCTCCCTATTCCCTATCTATATGGAACATGAGCTATTCACTAGGTGAAAAATATTTTTCACAATCTATATAAATTATAAATTATAAATAAAAAATATAATAAAAAAATATACTTTTTGATGTATGAACAAAATCAGATTAAAGTTGAAATACTCCGTATTATTTTGTAAAATTTTATATTATTTTAATATCCTTCCTAATAAATAAAGATCTTTTGATCATATGTTACATTTTTATATAAATTGATACATGTAATTTTGTGGTTATGGGAACAATATATTAATTAGAAATAAAATTACAAAACTAAAAATTAATCAAAAATTAATTTTAGGATTATATAGATTTTATTCGGAATATAGTTCGAATCGGAATCGTCTAGAATGATCAATGTTTCTTCTTGTATTTACGATTCCACCCATCTTTAAACGATGCTTAATTGAATGAGCCGAAATATAATATTTTACTGTTGTAGATAAACATGGACCTTTTTCTATTCCACCGAATAATATAAACAGAGAAAAAGAAGGTAAGAAGCTTTCTTTGGTAACAAGAAAGGTTTCTATGCTTCTTCTATATACACATACACAATACACTCCCTTCCCCAATCGTAACCCTCTCCAAACCCTCGCCCCAAAAATCTCAATTCTTCGTTTTCTCTTACCAATCTAAGCCTATTAATCAATTTCCTCGACACCATGACTGATCAAGCTGAATCATCCGACGCGTAAGTCACAATTGTCCCTTGTTCTATTGTTAAAATCTTTAGCGGTGTTACTATTATGAGTAGATTGACAGTATTATGCCTGCGATTTCATAATTTTAAACGTTTTGTTGTTGCTGTATGTAGCAAGGGGACTAAGCGGGACTTTAGCACCGCGATTCTTGAGCGAAAGAAGGCGGCGAATAGACTCGTCGTTGATGAAGCCATCAACGATGATAACTCCGTTGTTTCTCTTCATCCCGAGACCATGGAAAAGCTTCAACTCTTCAGAGGCGATACAATCCTGATCAAGGTATCTTAGGGTTTATACTTAATAGTTTATACTATCTTATAATCGTTTCCTGAGTCCTCTAATACTTGAATATATTGTTTTCTGCTCTTCCTGAAACTTATTCGTTGCATTCTTGATTCAATCTAGGGTTTTTTATACAAGTTAATGAATCAGACATTATAAATCTAATGTAGATCTAGTTTTTGTACATCGCATGCTTCAATTCTTTCATCTTCTTGCAGGGCAAGAAAAGGAGAGATACAATCTGTATCGCACTTGCTGATGACACCTGCGACGAACCAAAGATTAGGATGAATAAAGTTGTCAGATCAAATCTAAGGGTCAGGCTCGGCGATGTAGTTTCAGTTCATCAGTGTGCCGATGTTAAATACGGAAAGCGTGTGCACATTCTCCCAATTGATGATACCATAGAAGGCGTCACTGGAAATCTCTTCGATGCATACCTAAAACGTAAGTTCATTCTCTATAACCCAACTACTATCCTCTCTTGTTTTCTTCTGATTTCTTCCATTGATGTATACAATTTGCAACCTGCAGCTTACTTCCTTGAAGCATATCGCCCTGTAAGAAAGGGCGACTTCTTTCTAGTAAGAGGAGGAATGAGAAGCGTCGAGTTCAAAGTCATTGAAACCGAACCCTCTGAATACTGTGTGGTTGCCCCTGACACAGAAATCTTCTGTGAAGGTGAACCCGTGAGGAGAGAAGACGAAGACAGATTAGATGAAGTTGGATACGATGATGTAGGTGGAGTCCGCAAACAAATGGCACAAATCCGCGAGTTGGTAGAATTACCATTACGCCATCCCCAACTCTTCAAATCAATCGGTGTTAAACCCCCAAAGGGTATCCTTCTATACGGGCCACCCGGATCCGGGAAAACCCTAATCGCCCGGGCAGTTGCTAATGAAACAGGCGCCTTCTTCTTCTGCATCAACGGTCCAGAAATCATGTCAAAAATGGCAGGTGAAAGCGAGAGTAATCTCCGAAAAGCATTCGAAGAAGCTGAAAAAAACGCGCCTTCAATCATCTTCATTGATGAAATCGATTCAATCGCACCAAAACGTGAAAAAACACACGGTGAAGTCGAAAGGAGAATTGTTTCACAGTTGTTGACATTAATGGACGGGTTAAAATCACGGGCCCACGTCATCGTCATGGGTGCCACTAATCGCCCGAATAGTATCGATCCGGCTTTAAGGAGATTCGGGAGATTCGATAGGGAAATTGACATTGGTGTCCCTGATGAAATCGGGAGACTTGAAGTTCTTCGTATTCATACAAAAAACATGAAGCTTGCTGATGATGTGGATTTGGAGAAAGTTGGGAAAGAGACACATGGATATGTCGGTGCTGACCTGGCAGCTTTGTGTACCGAAGCTGCTCTTCAATGTATTCGCGAGAAAATGGATGTGATTGATTTGGAAGACGAATCGATTGATGCTGAGATTTTGAATTCAATGGCTGTATCCAATGAGCACTTTCAAACAGCTCTTGGAACAAGTAACCCGTCTGCTCTTCGTGAAACGGTTGTTGAAGTTCCAAATGTGAGCTGGGAAGACATTGGTGGACTTGAAAATGTCAAACGAGAGCTTCAAGAGGTATTCGTTTTTTTTTTTTTAGTAAATTTCATTATCTATTCTTGTTTACTTGTTACTTATGGTACAAGTTGTTATGCAGACGGTACAATACCCGGTGGAACACCCGGAGAAATTTGAGAAATTCGGAATGGCGCCATCGAAGGGAGTTCTGTTCTACGGCCCACCGGGATGTGGAAAAACGCTTCTTGCAAAAGCGATTGCGAATGAATGTCAAGCGAATTTCATAAGCATCAAGGGACCCGAGCTTCTGACAATGTGGTTTGGGGAAAGTGAAGCGAATGTGAGGGAGATTTTCGATAAGGCGCGTGGATCTGCGCCATGTGTTTTGTTTTTTGATGAGCTGGACTCGATTGCGACGCAGAGAGGGAGTAGTCAGGGAGATGCAGGGGGTGCAGCGGACCGGGTGTTGAACCAACTGTTGACGGAAATGGATGGGATGTCGGCTAAAAAAACGGTTTTTATAATCGGTGCGACTAACCGACCCGATATTATTGACCCGGCTCTTTTGAGACCCGGTCGACTCGACCAGCTGATTTACATCCCGTTGCCTGATGAAGAATCGCGTTTCCAGATTTTTAAATCCGCTTTGAGGAAATCGCCTGTGGCTAAAGATGTGGACCTTAGTGCTCTTGCTAAGTATACTCAAGGATTTAGTGGTGCTGACATTACTGAAATTTGTCAACGGGCATGCAAGTATGCGATTCGGGAGAACATAGAGAAAGTAAGTTTGTTTATAACTTTTATTTTGTGTGTTATTAAAAAATAACTAATATTTTTTTATTTTGTAGGATATTGAGAGGGAGAAGAGGAGGAGTGAGAATCCGGAGGCTATGGAGGAGGATGTGGAAGATGAGGTGGCGGAGATAAAGGCGGCTCATTTTGAGGAGTCGATGAAGTTTGCACGGAGGAGTGTTAGTGATGCTGATATTAGGAAGTATCAGGCATTTGCTCAGACGTTGCAGCAGTCGAGAGGGATTGGGTCGGATTTTAGGTTTGCGGAGGCAAGCGGTGGAGGTGTTGGCGGTGGGAGTGGTGGTGGTGACCCGTTTGCTGCGGGGGCTGGTGGTGCGGATGAAGATGATCTTTATAATTAGGGTTTTTGTTGAATGCTTTTGTGGGCGGATGTGTTTGTGTTTGTGTTTGGTTATGTAAGTAAGTTGATTTCAAGTTTAAGAAAAATAGTGATGATATTTCTTCAAATAAATAAGTAAATCTTTAGGAATACTTGTTGTGGTATTGTGTTCATGTGTGTTTATATTTCCAACTAGAGAAATTAAATTGCCTCCAACCTTCCCTTTTATTCCTATAATTATTTCTACCCACTAAAATTATAACAAATAACTATTTAATTTAATTGTATTTGATATATTCATAATATAATCTTAATGATTTAGTTTAAAAAATATGGAAAGATGACACTTGTCATAATTTTATTGAGTAGGTATATTTGTATGTATAAAAAATATGAATCAATTTAATTTCTCTTCGAACTATCTAAATTTCTCATTCACTTTTGGTTTTAGAGAAGCTGAAACATTTATTTTTTATTTCAGTCACATGTCACTCTTGGAGGAAAAGAGTGGATGATTTTTCTGTTTTATTTTTTAATTAGATTTTCTTTTATAAAATTACAATTAAAATATAAAAATTTTTAGAATTTAATTATGGGATATGAATTGAAAAGTAATATATTTGTTGATTTGTATATATTTAGTTCTTTTTAACTTGTTAAACTGTATATATTAAAAAACATGCTTCATCAAAACCTACAATGATAAGTTTTTTATTTATTTATTTATTATTATAAAACAAAAACCTCAAAAGGACAGTTTTAAGGCTGTTTGGTAGCATCTGAAAGATTCATATCTGATGATATAGATGTCAAGATAATACAAATGTTCTTTATGAATTTGTAGACAAAATCATGTTTGGTTAAGCATTGGAACATCTACCTCTTAACAAAGAAAATAACCATTTTAACCCTTTAAATTATTTTTTGCATACAAAATAAACACAACCGTACAACATTCAAATTAGATATCATACAACATCCAAATATGTCATATATAGATCCTTAGATGATACTATAACAAATTTTATAAAAATCTTGCAATAAATTGGTTCAAACAAATTGGATTGTCGGGTTTCGATTGGCACAAGTTGATTGCGATTCTAAGATAAATCCTCACGATCTTTGTGGTTATTGTTTACATCCAGTGGCATTGCTCCCTACAACACTTGACACTTCCTACATCAGTTGAGAATTAAAAGTAATAAGAAAAAAAAATGTTGTTAGAAGAAAAGCAAACATATATTTTGCAATTTTCAACCTAACAAAAGTAATAAACTCCTTAACTTCAATCATCAAACTCCTAAATACAAAGTGTTCTATGAATTTTATACTTGCTTTTGTGTATATATATATATATATATATATATATATATATATTTTGTTGTTATTATTTGAGTAAACTACAGAAATAACTGTTATGGTTTAATCAAATTCATACTTTTGGTCCCTAATTAAAAACATTGATAGGCTTCATTTCCGTGGTTGTAACAAATTAGAGTCTCAATTATTTTTTCAAATAAAAAGATTAATTTTCTTTTTAATTATCTTTTTTCTTTATATATATATATATATATATATATATATATATATATATATATATATATATATATATATATATATATATATATATGAAAAAGTGAATATACCTTTAAGGGTATATAAACTTAGGTACCAAACACATCATAATACATCGTTTTGTTTGATATATTATAATGTTCTTAAACCTTAATCCCTGATTTCATTTACTTTCAAGATTTTCGAAATTTCAGTATTATCTTCTTCTTACATCACATCTTTTTGCCGAACACCTACTAGACAATATATATATATATATATATATATATATATATATATATATATATATATATATATATATATATATATATACTATAGTTGAAAATCAAATTTATGTAAAAGGAAGATAAATGTGAAATTTATAAAAATATTGTAAGTAATCAAATTAGAAGTTGAATTATAAGAAGATTGGATTATTACAATGTATATATACGATACAAAACGACGTAGTATGGTGCGTTTGGGTACCTAAGCTTATATACCCTTAAAGGTATATTCACTTTTCCTATATATATATATATATATATATATATATATATATATATATATATATATATATATATATATATATATCACATCTTTTTGCCGAACACCTACTAGACAATATATATACTATAGTTGAAAATGAAATTTATGTGAAAGGAAGATAAATGTGAAATTTATAAAAATATTTATTGTAAGTAATCAAATTAGAAGTTGAATTATAAGAAGATTGGATTATTACAATGTATATATACGATACAAAACGACGTCGTATGGTGCGTTTGGGTACCTAAGCTTATATACCCTTAAGGGTATATTCACTTTTCCTATATATATATATATATATATATATATATATATATATATATATATATATATATATATATATAATTTATTTATTTAATATTTTTATGTTTTGTTCGTTTACATTTTATTTTATTTATTTATATTTTGTTCGCTTACATTTTCTGACGTTTTGTTTTAATTCATTTTTAATGTTTTTCTAACTTTTTGTTTGTTTATAATTTTATAAACACTTTTAAAAATATTTTTTTGTAAAAAATATAAAAAAGTTTGTTAAATGTAAATATGATTAACATAGATTAGGTACAAAATTATTTATTTTAATAGGATTAATATATAGGTTAACTAGAATTCAAATTAGATGTCAAGTTATACATAAGCTAATTAGAATTTATATAACCCGAAAAAGGTGTCAATTTTTTTTTTTTGTTATTATTATTATTATTTTTAGAAATCTTATTTGTTTTCGAGTTATACGAATTCTGATTAGCCTATGTATAACTTGACATACATTTCGAATTCCAATTAGCATATATATATATATATATATATATATATATATATATATATATATATATATATATATATATATATATATATATATATCTTAATTACCTTATAAAACATTTTTGGTCAAATGTTGAATTTTAAGTCGTACAAACATACAATCAATTTATGCATTACAAAAAGAGTAGAGTACATATGGTCAACAGTTGAAAAGGCCAAATCTCTTATCCCCTATTCTTAGGCTATTTTGACCCGGTTCATTCCTTATCTCCGTATTTCCTCAAATCTCGCAATTTCTGTTCACAAATCTTGGATATATATCGCTGACGTTTCAATTTCTAGGGTTTATGTAACGACCCAATTTTCACGTCTAAAAATTTCGTTTTTAAAACATTACTTTAGAAAACATTAACAATTAAAGCATTAATTAGTTAAACCATTTCACATTGACAACCAAGTTTAAAATCCATAACAGATAACAATCAAATATCAGAGTATCAATCCCAGGTAAAACACATAAATGCGGAATTAAGGAGTGCGTGTGTGATGAGCCGCTACCGCGCCTGCTCCTTTCCTTTAGCTGAGGAAGTACCTGAAACAACAACTGAAAAACGTAAGCACAAAGCTTAGTGAGCTCCCCCAACCTACCACATACCATGCAAACACATAACACAATTACTGTCAGGCTATTCTGGGGTGCCTGACTACCCGGTACGACCATTCTCGGGCGCCGAATACCCGTGCGGCCATTCTGGGGTGCCGTCCTACCCGTGTCAAGCCATTCTGGGGTGCTGACTACCCGTCGGTCCTGACAACCGATCCTCGGGGACTAGTCCCCTACTACTACCTCTATCACATATAGCATAACAAGCCAGCATGCAAACATATCATCATACACTGTCAGACATTTTGGGGTGTCTGCACTACCCTTCGGTCCTAACAACCGATCCCTATTCTATCACATAAAACTGATCATGCTAGCACATAACATATCAGGTAGTAGCAAACCAAGATGATATCACAAAGACGATCATCTAGCAACAACTCCTACTGGTGGGCCGACATTATGGTCGTAAACCCACCGCTACTGGAAGGTAACTCACCTCAAAGTAGCTGTTGATCTGATTGGGAACTGACTGTCTACTGCTGCTGCTACGGAAATCCTCCGGCTCAATGGAACTGCTAAGAGAACACAATGGTGCTTGGATGGCTTCCCTTCTTCTGGATCTACTTCGCTTTTTCTTCAAAACCTTCAAGAGCACACAACAAATGCTTCAACTCTTCAAAGAACAAGCTTAAACGAGGGTTGGGAGCTCTGGGGGGTGAATGGGGGCTGGCCTGGGGTGGATGTGTTGCTTAAATAGGGTGCAAACCCCTGAAACTTAGGGTTTCATCCAACAACGGTGACTCGTCGAGTCCAGAATATGGACTCGCCGAGTCGCCAATTTAAACATGTCCCGGGTCCCGTCCTTACTCGGCGAGTCGGACCTATGACTCGCCGAGTCCAAGGCTAAAAAGAAGGAAAATACTCAATTAGATTTACGTACTAGGAACCAGGTGCGACAGTTTAATTGATCTTTCAGCATTCAACCACCATTGTCACACCCGTCGCTTGGCGCGGGTATATATATATATATATGTAGAGAGAGAGAGAGAGAGGAGAGAGAACGGTGACAATATATTAAAACTTGCAAAAGCTAGAAGAAAAAAACATTAAGTAATTAAATAAGTTGGATTTTACACCCAATTAACCCATTTAATGTTAAGGTCAAAACATCTAGAAGAAATCTAAAATAAAAGATTAGGATTGAATGAAATCCCAAAGCACCGCCTTAGCAAGTTTGACATGTGGAAACAATAATCTATATCTAAAAGACCAAATCGCCCACATCATAGTAAAAACCACTGCTTCTAAACAGTTCTTCAATTAGGAAGACAAACGAACATTGTTATATGAAGATAACCATTTAGAGGTAGGCGAGAAAACATGCATGTCCATCTCCCATAAACTACCCACGAGATTCCACAAGTCAAACACCATACCATAAGAAAAAAGAGATGGTTAGCTATCTCAACATCACCATCACTAATCGGGTACAACAACTAACTACCATGAATACCACACATGTATAGGTTGAATATGGTTGGAACCTT